AAGGAGATTGCTGTTATTTACTTTACTAAATGACCTGAATTTCAGGAATCCTTGGGGGAATGAAGTCACAAGTTTAGAAGATATTCAACAAGTTCAATAAGTATGAATCATGCTTTAAAGTTGCCCTCGTTGTTGACAATTTACTGTCTGCAGTAATTATCAAACATCTACCCTTTTAGGTGACTGTTTCAAAAGGAACTAACAGAAGAAAGAAAACCTCAGTTATCAAGATGACCCAGTATCTAGAATTTTGAAGAATTTAAGAAATTTCCGGAAAATTCTGGCTATGTGGTCAAACCCTGGACAATATGTGGGTTCACTGACTGTATGTACACTTTTTATTTTCCTGGAAACTGCTGAAACGGATACTGAGAGCCACTCTCGCTGATACAAACAAAGTCATAACTGGGATGTTTCCTGACAGAAGTCACCCTGAGATTGTTGAGATGAGTTCTATCTCTATAAACATATCTTCTCACTGACTTGATCAATATTGGCCAATGACCTAAAGGCCTGTATCACTGTACTTTTTCTTTAGTGATTTCACATTATTGCTGAAATGCACATTTCTTGATTTTACTAGGTATACCTTAACAAGATATGCTTCATAGCTGTTATCAATTTTTTAATTAATGGAATTGGTATATAAATGGACTCATGAATACTTAGACCATTAATGAGAGGACATGGACACCTCTGTCTTAGAAGCTAAAGGGAAAGGACATTGAAATTGGAGCTGGTAGAAGAGAAGTCATGCTGATTGACTTCTCAATTACGCATTACAGAACCACTGACAGAGCAATAATCATTGAGTCCTTCTTATGTATCAAAGTAGAAGGGGAAAAAGAACTTAGGGAATTAAGATGAACGACATGATTGGACAGGTTTATTTGAGAGGGAGAATGGGCAAGGAGTGTATTTGGCCATTTTTTATCCTTCTAGATTTTCCTTATCATCCTTGGGGACATCAGTCACTGCCCTGTCCTAGTCACATTCAGCAGTTAAATATCTAGAGACATCTATTCCTTCCCAGAACCTACGAGAGGTCAGAAAGAGAGTACAACCTTTCTCCTTGACCAAGCTGTGACCTGTCCCCAGAACCCCCCACCACCATTTCTCATGGATTCCAAGGGTTTCTGCTCCAAGCACTCCAGACCTATATCACCTGCCCACCCATCTCGTTCCTTTCAGCTCCATTTCCACGGGGGGAACCTGTCCCTTCTCATCCCCTTACCCTGGCACAGATTTTCTCAAATGACCTTGCTCGTGTCTGACATCTCTTCAGTCTCTTCCCCCACCCTACTCACTCAGCTTTCTTTGCTGTATGTAACACCTCGGCTGTTGGCCATAAATAACCTGGCCTGTCCACCTCCCGTGCTGTGTGGGCTGGTTTGATCATCGTCACCTCTCCAGCTCCTGTTTGCTTCCTCCCCTCCTCCCAGGGCCCAGTCAACAGCACATTCCAGCCCCACCAGGGGAGCACATACTGGCAGAAGAAGCAATTAACACTAATATTTCTGCAAGCTGGAAATTCTCATAATTAAAACTTCTTTTGCAAGATCCTAGGAGTCTTAATAATCTGAAGGGAAGAGGAGCACTAGCATCTTATCAGGAAATGTGATCAGCAGAAAAAGATAAAAACTCTGTAATACAGGCCTAAAATTTTACTCTAGGGCCGAATTATCAGATATAAATATTTCTGTGGATTAAAACAACATCATAAGCTTGCTATATTCATTAAGAGCTCTTAGCACATTCAGAAATTCTCTAAAAGCAGCAACAGTTACAATCAGCCATGTAATCAAAAGCAAGTTCTAACATAATCATTTTCCTGAGCTTAGCAAAGACAGGTCTTAATACAGACAGTAGCCATCCACTGAAGGAGGAAGAAATGATTACTTTGATAATACAAAGCTCAACACAAGTGCAAAACACTAAATTAAAGGCAGCTGAAGAGCACTAACTGATGGACAGTAGTCACGATGGTGATATTTACTAATATGAAATTTAGTTTGCCATATAATTATCATATCAGCAAGTATAGAGATGACACCTTTCTAGACCTAGACAATGAGCCCATTGTTAAATCCAACACTATCCAGATCTCTGTCTGAAAAACCAAAAAGCGCTGACATTAGATAGCATTCAGACATCTGACCTAACAGTACGGTGAACTTGACTCACCCAGAAAAAGGACAAACATGGTTTATAAATGTGACAGATCTTATTCACCTGGATAAATGCAAGCTGACAAATTATCCACGAGAGAAAAGATATTAACGTTTTCCACAAAAGATGGCTCAAATATGTACCTTTTGGCAGTTTCTGATGGACCCATACCACCACGACAAAAGGTTTTTATTTTTTTTTTAAAGTGGGCTTTCTTCGAAATCAGAAAAGAGACAAGGGTCTAAATGTCAGTTACAATCAATACCAACAAACAACAACTCATGTATTTAGACAGAAAAATTATAGCTACTCCGCAGTTTTGCCTCCCTCTCTCTCAGAACACAGACACACAACACACAAACACACTTCACTGCCCTTAAGGGCACTAAAAACACATATGTCCTGACATTTAAGTCAGGAAGACATGAAGAGCTGCCAGATGACTTCTCAGAGGCAGTGAGCTTGTCCATCCTAAACGCATTCCCAGCAGTTTTTCTACTTCCTGAGGCAAACTTCGTGCAATCTAACCCTTGCTGACCTTCTCCATTTTAAAATTTACCGACAAGTCAGTCCCTTAACACAAGAGAGAGCCTCTATTGCCCAAGAGATGGGCCAGCTCGACAGACTGCTTCCAGGACCTTGTTGAGAAAATGCAAGCTCAGATGACTGTCCCTAAAAGAAAACGATCCTATAGAGTAAATGATCTCATTCCACATACTCGAGAACGTGTATACCTGTTATAAGGCTTGATTAGGGACATGCCCAAAATGTTCAGCTCAGGGGACCCACCCAGGCCTCTAATCAGAATCTCTCCTGTGGACAGTTCAGTGAAAACATCTGAGGGTCACTGAAGAACACGCTCTGTTGCAGTTCCAAAGTTGCCATAATAAACAGTGTACAGGGCATCACACATGGGGCTCAGACCCAAAAGACAGAAACAATCAAAAAGGGAGTGAAAAAAGGATGAGAACACTCAGCTAATGCAAAAATGAAATGTTTCAAAGGGAGAGTGATTTGATGGCGATTCAGACCACTCAGGCAACCAGTCAAATTGCTTCTGCAATTCTATGAATTTGGGAGAAAACAAGGTTCTTGACTTAGTGGTCAACATAGACCTCATTTCACCAGATAATTAGCATGACTCAGTGTTTCACTTTGCTTGTGGGAGCAGTTTACAGAGAGATGAGTGCACTGGGCTGATGTTTCCAGGCTGGGTCTACAGCCGTGGAAATTAAAGGAAACAGGCTAAATCCCTGCCAAAAAAAAAAAAAAAAAAGAACGTGGCTCATCGAGATCATTGTCCCCATTCACGATTATTTTATCTGCAGCAATCTGGCTTTGGATGCTTACTTGTGATTCCCACCTTAATATCAGAGGTGTTTCTAATGTAATAATGATGGTAGCTGCCACCAAGGGAAGGCTTGCTATTTCCCAGGGAGCATGCTATGGTCTGTATTCATTCATTCATCCAACTAATATTTAAAGAACGTCCACCATGTGACAACACTGTTCTAGGTTTCAGGGTACAGTCTGAATAAAATGAAGTTCCTGCTGTCATAGAACTTTCCAGTAAGAGAAGAAAGAAAACAGAAGAATAAATATGGAATGTTATCAGGTGGTGATCTGGGCTATGAAGAAGAAAGTGGGATAAAGGTGTCAGAGGGTGACTGTGTGAAGTATGCTGTCCTAACAAGGACCACCAGGAACACGCTTGTAGTTCAGGAACACAATGAGTTTACTGACTCATTGCAACAAGGGAGAACGCACACCACTGGGTTCCAGGCATCTAAGTAAGAGGGTGTTCAGTGAACTTATTTTAAGATTTGGGCTGTGTTAGGTGATTTGGGGGAGGGTTCAGGAAAGCAAGATTTTGCTCCAAATTGGATACTGTCAGGAAGTGAGGTTAATTCTAGGATTGGGTATCTTAGTGATTCTTATCTAGAAGGTGGGAAGAATGAAGTGAGGCAGTCACTCATAGTAGCCAGAAGGGAGATATGTGGCCATCTTTGTGGTTTGGACAATCTTGGTTTTATCTGCATTTGGACATGATTATAAAGGGGTCTTGCTTTTGTCTTGATCCAACAGAGTCACAAAGCAACCTTATATGATGTTGGTGTTCTGAGAGATTATATTCAACAGGAGACCACAGCTGAGCCGTGAGTGCCAGGCCAGCTCCCTGCAATCAGCAGCTGCTCTTCTCTTTCCTGTGCTCAATCCTCACTCAAGCTTCCGAGATAAGTAATATTACTATTTGTCTTTTATAAATGAGGAAACTAAGACCCAGAGAGGTGAAGGACTTACCATAGAGCAAGCAACTAAGAGTGCATGGATTCAAACTCAGGTTATCTGACTCCAGAGCCAGCCTCTTATCCACTCCACACACGGGCCCCTGCAGTGCTGAGCCTTTTGAATTCCCTTGACAAGATGTTATCTTCAAAAGGGCCAGGGGAGTTTTAGTGACAGCGTGGACACAAAGCCTGCAGGGGAAGCTGCTACCAGTAGACACCCCTGGTACCTAGTCCAGAGGATGTGCAAATGTCCATGAAGTAAGTCCACCTGGTCACTGTCAAGGCAAAAGTATTTTTCTCCAAGGGATGAGGAAACATTTTCCATTTTACTTAAATTGGAAGGTTTCTTTTTCAATAATTTAATAAAAACAAATTTATCTCAGCCACTTATGAACTAAGTTCTAAATACTGGAACAAGTATATTAAAATACCATAAAGGTAATGGTCTAGCACGTAAGGGTGACAGAGTCTGAGGCAATTAATATTTCCTGTATCCCCTATTTTATAAACACCCTCTCTCACGGCAGCAAAATCAGGGCTTACCAATAGGTTTTCTGGCTTGAGATCCCGGTGGACGATGCTCTTGTCGTGCATGTGGACGAGTGCCTTACACAAGTCCATGAGCATGAGGGCAGCGTCCCGCTCTGGGAACTTCACACTTTCTATGATGGCGTCAAAAAGGTCCCCTCCCCGCACATACTCCATGATCAGGTAGATTTCCGTTTCTGTCTCGTACACTTCATGCAATTTCACTATGTTGGGATGAGAGAGGCTCTGGATAATTAAGATCTCACTGTCAACCATGTCCTCCTTACCCTTGAGTTTGGACTTGTCGATGATCTTCATGGCATAGGCCTGCCTGGTTTCGCGGTGCCTGCACTCCTTCACCATGGCGAAGTTTCCGTCCCCAATGACCCGGCCCATCTCGTAATGCTTCTCCACATTGGCCGAGATGATGCCCGGGGGCCTCCGCTTCCGGCCACTGAGCCGCTCTGGCTTCTTTTCCTCTGGCCTCGTCTTGGGCTCCTTCTCTACCCTTGCGGGTTGGTCCTCTCTGGGAACCATCTTTCTCCCTCCTGACACACATGGCTTTTTCTCCTTCTCTGCCTCCTGCTCCTCCCCTCGGGTCCTGGGGAGCTTCTCAGAGTCGGCCTGGCGCTCCCGCAGGAGCCAGCCACCATGCTTGGTCCTGCAAACGTTCCTAGTGTCCTTCTTCACGTCCCTCAGCCCCTCCTCTCTGACGGGCTGAACTTCCAAGGGATCCTTCTTAGCCTTGGCTGCTGCTTGAGGATGACCTTCCTGACCTTCAGGGTCTCTGTCCTCCTTCTTGTCCGTGATTTTGCTGGGTCTCCTCAGCTCCTGAGTGGGGTTCCTGGGACTGCTCCTGTGGCTGTCACCCTTCCTCCCTTCCTCCCCACCTGGAGGGTTCGCCTCGGGGGACCTCCTGCAGCTTCTCGTCCTCACCAGCTTCTCCACGTCATACCTTTGGCACTTCCCCATGTCCAGCTGGCTGGTCCCCAGGGAGAGCCTCTCCCTCTGTAGGCTCTGCTGGAGCTCTCTCTCTCTCTTGCACTTCTCACATCTGATAATTTCACCCGAGGTCTTTTCGATCTCCACCCCCAGGTGCTTCTCTCCGCTTGCATGCCTCTCCAGAGTGGCTTCCCTGGGTGGCTTGCTACCGGGTTCAGGCTCCCATTTCCCCCTCACCCACTTCTTCTGGGCCCTTGCCCTGTCCTCCTGTGCCAGCTCCACGGGGGTCTTCCCTTGGTGTCTGATGGCTGCCTTGGACCCGGTAGCCTCGCTGCAGGTCTTGGCGGTCTCTGTCTTCCCACAGTGGAGACCCTCTTTCAGAGCCTTGCTATAAAGCCTGCTTTTCAGCCTTGGAGAAGGGACCCGGCTGTGCTGGGTCAATGTCAAGGCCCGGGCTTTATTGGGGTACAGTTCTTCTAGAGCCACCTGAATGTTCTTCAGTGTCAACGGTTCTTTGCCCATAGCTATGAAAGCATCCCCTTCCCTGAAGAAATCAGAGACACTCTTGATTTCCCTGCCCTTGAGGTTAAACAGTTTCCTCACGCGATCACTCTTCCATCTCGGAAAGCCCAGGGCCTCTGAGACGTCCGCTAAGAGCTGCTCGAAGGTCTGCACCGACCGTCTGTTGAGAAGCAGGGTGATCTTCCGGAGGGGGTGCCCACCCAGCTTCACCACGGTCACGACCCTGGGCTTCAGCGGGCTGTTCTCAGCATGGACGGAGTGAAGGCCATTCTGGGGGCTGAATACAGGCACGACAGAGCCACGAGGTCCCAGGAATGGTTTCTCCAGATTCCCTCGGCCAGCGGGCAGCCATGTGCCCTGCAGCTTCCGCTCCGTGATTCTTGAGCTTAAATATTTTAGAGAATGGTCACATAGGCCTCGATGTCCTGCAAGAGGAAAATGACAACACAGTATTAGACAAGACGGGGTTCAAAGAGCCCTTTGGCCTTCACCAAAACTTTACTGAAGATTACTGATTCTATCACAGTTTGTAAGTGTGATCTTTGAGGATCTGCTTGAAACGATGGAGCCTTTACACTTTAGAGCTAATCTCCAGTCTCCTCTATGAGAGACAAGGAGTGCAGGACAGAGTTAGCATTGGTCCTGAGGTGGCTCCTCTAGGCCTCCCAGAAACCCCCAGGATGGGCTACGCCTTGGGAGGCCTCTCTAGGGGAGGCCTGACCCTGAGAACACAACTCCGGCTATCCTAAAGTGAGCTGACCTTCAAGAATCTACAACTGAGATCAAAGGTCCAGGGGTCGCTGCCCAGGAAATACCAACAAGAAGTCAGAACATTCTAGAACTTTAAAGAACCCACCTCTTTGCCAAGAACAGTTTTCTAAGCTTGACTTTCAACCCACTCAAGGTGAGGCAAAACATGAAGAGGTCATGATCACAGAGTCTGAGTCAGATCTGGATTTAAATCCTGGCATGGCTACTGACTATTTGTCTGAACCTGGGCAAATTATTCAAGTTTCATTTTTCTCATCTACGAAGTAGGAATGATAACACCTTCCTGCCAGGGTTTTTGTGAAGAGTAAATAAGAAAATGATTACAATTCACTTAAAGGAGTCCTTGACACACAGTGAGGGCATAGTAATTGCCAGTTATTAATACTGTCCTTACGATCTTAATATCTCTTTTGTATTAGAATTTAATTTGATAGTAATGTAATCTCTTGATAAAGTAGAATCTTGTGCACAGATTCACCTCGCTTCACAAGAACTCATGGACCAAAATGCCATGGTGGATATTTCTTAAAGCTCTGAGATTCTCTTGCACTGGAGGTTGTAAAAAACAAAAAAGGAAAGTTAAAGGAGATTTCAGTCTAGGTATAGAAACTTTCTTCTCCAAATGGTTTTTCCTCTTGCTATTAAAAGAAAGGAAAGAAAGAAACCAAGGTCATATTAATGTTCAGAGCTTTCATAATGAGAATGTGCTCATTCTCATTACATTTCCTAATAAACTGAATAAATGAATAAAACAAGACTGTATTTCCTAATCAGCTGTATCCAACCAGAACAAAGTAGCTGAGACAAAAGTGGTTCAATTATGATTTCTGTCCAGGTCAGGAAAGGAAACAGGAAAATGACAGAATATGTAACTCAGTTAAACCATAAGCGTGGGCTGCAAATTATTAAATTTACCCCACAAGATCCATATGTCATATCTGACATGTAGGAATCTGCCATTTATGCTTCTTTTAAAAAAAATAATTATTTTTAACTGCATTTGAATTATAGCAGAAACTCCAGGATGGGCAATTTGGCCCAGCAGATTTACACAGAATGTTTTTTGTTTTTTAATTATAGCATACAATCTGTTCTGAGATGATTTCCATCTAGACACAGGTGTCAGATTAGATGACAAGTAGTGGCTTGATCTTCCCACATGCCATAAATGTATGAGCTTAACAATCACATTTACAGTTAAACTGTTTATTTACGGACATCTGTTATTCCCTTTCTTCTCATAATCTCTCTAATCTGCCTCCATTTTTGTCTGAGAGAGTTGATGCTAAGGGAGAGAAAGAGAGATCTGCAGCAGTAATACTAGATTGTTTCCTTACTGGAAAAATTGAGGAACGGTGCAAGGAAGGTAACCTTCAAATGCGTGTGCCCAAAGGGACTAGCGTTCTCATTGGTTTTCTTTATGGTGCTTCTCACAGAGTAGGACCGTCGATACATATGTGTCAGGCTAAGTCAATGGAAAAGAATTTTATTCCAGGGAAGGGAGAGGAGAGGGATTTTCAGGGGAAAACCAGGAGGATAAGGGAGCATTTGGTAAATACATTAGGGATGCGGGAGAGTTTAGCATGGAAGGGGGTTCAGGAGGGTCCCAGAGAAAGATCCAGTATGGGATGTCAGGGAGGCATACAGCAGTACTCATGGAACAGGACAGACACTGGTGGGGCTGACATGTTGAGGGTTGACGTAGGATGACAGAGAGGCAAGTCATGATGGGACAAGTGGCGTCAAGGTCCCCAACAGTGAAATTGTGGAGCTTGGTGTGGTGGCGGATGACTTGCCCTGTGGTACCCAGAGTCAGGGCGAGGGAAGGGGTGTGCTCTCTGGGATGGCTGTGCCCAGCCAGTTTCAAAAGACCCTACCTCAGAACCTGTCCTGAATCCTGGTGGTTGTCCTCCTGTCCTCCCGGTAGGAGCAATCTGGGAGCACTCCATCCCTGAACCCCGGAGAGGCTCCACAAGAGTGGTCCCCATCCCAGGCATGGACACAAAGGGTGTGAAGACAGAGGAGCTCGGCCTCTGCTGCACCACCACCAGGCTTGCTTAGTCCACTGCCCAGGCATTCTCAAACTCATTTAAAACCTCTGCAGGCTGGGGCAAGAGTGAGAACTCAGTCCCCCTCCTGCCCAACAAAACCGGGAGCTACAGAAATGGTACTTCTCATTCTGTCTGCATCAAGCTACTGGGGAGCACCAGGAAAACACAACTTCCAGATGCAAATATTTTTATCTTCTCTTCCACAAGCCCACCATCCTCCTTTAAAATTCTTAGTCCAGAGCAAAGTTTTCTTCTTTAAAGGTAAGAGAAAAAAATCAGGAGACTCTGAATGCCTGGTCCATAGGCAGAGAGAAGAAACAGCAGGGAGAATAGAGCACATCCCTTGGGCCCTGGGCCCTGTCTCCAGGAACAGTCTCATCTCCTGAGGACAACAGCACAACGAGTACTTTCAGGTTAACTGTAGGGAGCATCATCGCAGTACTTAGCCCAGTCACCCTGACCAGAAAGCCAAAGTCCAGCCCATGTCCACTTGTCTCCAACAACAACTTACAAAATTGATTTTATGGAACCATATGAAATTTCCAGTAGTTCTACCAATTACCAAAAAATGGAAATTTCGTATGCCTCAAGCTAATATGATCTAGAATAATAACCCCTACTCTGGCCCTACATCAGCAGTAAATACTTATGAAGGTAGAGACAGTAAAGATGAAACATCCTAATTCCCAGTCCTCAGCCACCAAGCCAGCAGCTTCCCAGGAAGTGACACAGGGAAAAGATGCTCTTATAGCACCCTGTTTTTCTGTTAACTTCCTGCAGCAACATAAATTAGCCTCGCCTTGACAATACTGCTGCTTTTGCCTTATACACCCCAAATACAAATGTTTATGGGGTTTCTCCCCAGCACCAATCTAACCCAACACATACAGCAAAACAGGCAATGCTTTCTCTGAGCCACTCCTCTGCTCAAGAACCTTCAGTGGCTCCTTACTACCATCCTGCAGGGCAAACCCAAACTCCTCAGCTTGATATGTAAGGCCCTCCATAGTCCAGTGGCCCCTATCCATCCCAACCCAACTCCACCCTCACTCCTCCCACCCATCCGAGCCTCACCATCTTGTAAGACCTAAGACCCACATCCACCGCCAAACCTTCCCTGACCTCACAAGTTCACAGTCAGAGCTCCCTCCTCTGAAGCTCGTTCATTCATTAAACCAACATTTGGTCTGAATGCTTGAGACCCAATACCAGCACTTGGCTGCAGAACACCTGGTCTTCCCTTCCGCACACCTCAGCTGATTGTTACTTCATCTTCATAGGGGTAAATATTCTCCCTCTCAACTAAATTTAGGCTCTCCAAAGGCAGAGACCATGGATTATGCAAATTCCCCTTCCTGGCCCTATTACACACAGTAAGCACTCAAGATTTGGGAAACCAGTTCCCAATCCTAACATCGATCAGTGTATCCGGTCTCGGTCTTCCAGCTCACCTTGTAAATAACTGAGTGTAACTACTTTCAGCTCTGGTACATGTCACACAAAAGACCTCCTGAACAGATTAAATAAACGAGGTGAAAGAAAACATGATCACAGGCATCCGTCTACCACAAGGAGATTTGCCAAAGCAGCATTTATAAAGAGCAACTAATACAGGTAGTGGGGAGCAGTACATTTCTTCAGAGTTTGTGAAAGCTTCATTTTAGAGCTGTGCAAAGAACACTGAACGTGGGGTCAGAATCCTGGTTCTACCAGGCTCTTATTAGCTGTGTGACCTTGGGAAGGTAACATAATCTCTCTGAGTCTCAGTTTCTACATCTGCCAAAAGTGATAGCTCACTCAGCCTGAGGGTGCCCAGCACACTGCTTAGCATAGAGGGGGCACTCAAACTGGGCTTGTTTTCTTCCCTCTCCAAAAGAAAAGAGGCTTGTAGCTTTGGATTTCCCCCAAATCCACGTACATCTCAAGGGCAAAGAGAATACGATGCTAAATGTGACTCAGCGGGGTGACTTTGTCATTCATGTAGCAATTGAAATAGAAAACCAATAAGGACAGGGAAATAAGAGAAACGCTCCAGCAAATCTAAGCCTACAGCTCTTCCGGGGAGAGAAACAAGCTCCCTGCTCACTGATCCTAGGACTCGCTGGCTGGTGTGAGCCAATAAACTCAGGAACTCCACAAGCCTTTTACTGTCATCGCCTCTAATGGATTTGGCTCCTGGCAATCGTGTCTCATGTCTGCTGCCACAATTCAGAGGAACTAATATAACTTGATTCCACTAGGGTCAGCTCCACAACTTATTACACCGAAAAAGCTACCAAAATGACTGGAAGTCACATTAACCCAGTTTTCTTTCTCATCATTTATTATTACTTCGTTTTACGCTGCTAATCAGCGAGTTTAGGATCAAGGGGAAAAAAAATATACTGCTAAAATTAATCTTTTACTTGTCTTTTTTAATCAGAACAAAGAGAGTGCACCTTTTCCTAATCATTTTTTAATCATAGCCCATATGTCTAATTAAAACACAAAGAAAAACTATGTCTGAGGTCAGCACGAACTTTGGAATTCTCGCCTTGGCTCCTAAAAAGCTGTAATAACACTCTAGAAAAACAAATGGGAGAATCACATCCAAATGCT